TATATATATATATATATATATGTAAACCACATTATAGATCCAAATAAAATTAAAGACATCACCTTATGTGTTCCTATGAGATTAACACTAAAACAGGAACGACCCTAGTCTAGACTTTAAACTTATGCCGGAAACAAATCCAAAGTTTCGGCTTAATTAAAGAAATATAGACATCAAGCAGCATCGCTCTATATAAAAAAAAAGAACTCATTTGAATGCAAAGGACTACTCATATTTTTACTCCAAGCAAATGGAGCTGTGCACACATTTTCTAAAAATTATACACTTGAACTAGATGGGGATAGCATTTAATAACAGTAGACAAAGCCAAATAAAGTAATAATAAAAAATAAAATAAAAAGAAATGGAAGGATCACATTAAGTCACAAGACAACTACAATAAAATTAAACTTGACTGATTTAGGCAACACTAGCGATCTAAACTCGAAAATAAACTCAAGAATAGTGAAACAAATCCTTTGACACTTTCAAGACATGTAACAAGATATGAAAATCACTGTAAGAAAGGAACAGGACAGCATCTCATAGGTTAGCAAATGGACGAGACAGATTTAAGGTGAGCATCACGGTCATAAATTCAAGAAGAGCGCATACAGAGATATAAGCCCAAACGAGCGTTAATCCATCTTGAAAATGAACGCGCGTTACCCCATTTCAGCAACAATAAGATGAAGAGAATAATATCAAACTGAACATACCATATAAGCTCATCTCAAAATCCCCAAGGAATAATACACTAAACCGACACAGTGAACTTAAGACAACCAAGGGATTACGAGTTGATTACCTTGTTGCGGGCAGCTGAACCGGGACAATATTGAGAAGGGAGACAGCAAGAACAAGTTTTCACCACTGAAAGGGATTCCGAACACTTCGGCAGACTCCGACAACACGAGAAAGAGGAACCGAACTAATAGACGACTTAGATCTTTTCGAAGTTATTTCGAAATGCTTCTGTTCAACTATTCTCTCTATTTGCTAGTTTATCAGATGTCCAAAACCAACGCCCCTCTTTCTTATCCTAAAATTTCCAACCAAAATCCTCCACTCAAAAAAAAAAAAAATCCCCCTCCATCAGTAGAAGAATAGGGTATTTATAGTGGAGAATTCGGGTTCGCATTTTGGGGGGAAAGGGATGAAAATTCGGATTCAAAGGGCCAATTTGAAATTTCAAACTCAAAAAAAACTTTCACCTTTTCGATGAAACACCTTTCCCCTGAAGTTTCAACCCTTTCCGGAAGAGGAAAGGGAAGAAAACGCGTGCTGGCAGGTGCTGTACGACCTACTGGCGGCAAAAGAGAAACGACGAAATTGGATGCCGTGTAGCTTCCGTGAATCGCCGTGTATTCTTTGCCATTGTCGTGTTTGGACTGTTGTTGCTGCTGATGTTTTTAGGAGTTGATGTTAACATTGAGCATATGGGTCTCTTTACTGATGGGAGGAATTGGGCCGGGTCGCTGTGCTGGGAATAATTGGTTTGGGCTGTTAATTAAGGGAGATGGGGCTGGGAATTGGGCTGTTGGAAAATAAATGGGAGTTGGGTCAAAGGAGTTGAAAGGATGGGCTGCTGGAAAGGCCCAAATTTGGTCCCTTAAGATGGGTCAAGGGTGAAAA